TGCTCTCTTTCAATCTGGCTACTGGGATATCCCCTTAGCGCTTTTGATAATTGAGTTAAAAAAAAAAAAAAAAAAGATTTATTGTTGTTTTTTCAAGAACAGAAAATAAAGAGCTGTTGCTCTCAAGTATTTGAGTCATGATGAAAAAAAAAACCCACCAACATAGGAGCTGTAGACTAAGGAATGATATAATGCCTTTTAGTTTGACTTCTTGTTTATTTAAAAACACTGTGGAAGAGGGGGAGAGTAAAGGTTAAAATAATATTAACGGAGCCCTCCGAGTCTATCAGCTTCTTTCTCCTTGGCCTGGGTGTTACTGTAGGCAAACAAAGTGGATAATCAGAATCAGAAATCTATATTAGCACTGCGGACATGGATCTGTCAGTAATAAATAGTGAGAGTGGAAGCTGGAAAACTAGCTTTTGGTTCAAGCTATGTTGTCCAAAATATTTGTATGAATTTTCTTCCTAAGAATCCCGTCAACATGAGAGCCTTGATTCCAGAACCTCAATTCCGTTGTGGGATAGAATAGTTTAAGATTTCTTGCAGCACAAAATTCCAGGATTATGTAGTATTTTTTCACATTTACATGTAAGAATGTGTTCAAGTACAGCCTTGGTTAGCGGAGAGGGTCTCGGTTGGCCTTTTGGCGGTGCTGCACGTTCCCTACGCGCTGCTTGGGGTGGGTTTGAGCAGAATTGTGTCCCGGCCTGCAAATCACTTCAGTTCTGCTCTGCGCCTCGTGGTCCCCATACCCCAAGTGAGCCACGTTGCAGCTGGTGACGACCTGGCCGTGAAAATAATTATACCTAAAATCCCATTTTTGCCCATTGACTTAATGGACCTCGGCACATAAATATGACTATTTCTGTTAATCTGCTAAAGAAAATTAAAAGGTTTAGCGGCACCATCCAGCACAGACCTCCGTGTTATCTGGACAAGTTTTAATGACTCTGGTCTCTGGCTCCCGTCTCTGGCCTGGGGGTGTTTTTGTGGCATTGCAGTTCCTCCCCTTTCCCCTACCTGCTTTTTTTGCTTGTCATTCTGCTTTCCTTTCCTTCTCGGCCCTTGGGAAGGAGGTTTGTGACAAGTCCGTTGCTGTTTCCTTTTGCTGGTGAGGGAAGGTGGTGCAGTTTTGGAGACTGGGGGGGAAAGTGAGGAAAGGAAGGATGGGAAGGAATGTGAAGGCTGCACCTCAAGCTCATATTTCTGGACTCGAAAGAGTGCTCTGAGCCACTTGCTTTCTGCTGGCAGGCAAATACAGGTAGCCCTGGTGTTTGCCAGGAAGCCCTCCCGAGCCCCCAGGGAAAAGATGCTGGTTTTGGCGCTCCGCAGCCTCTCCTGAAAGGATGCAGTTAGGTACAATCCAATCTTGTGTAAAATAAGCTCCTTGTCGCTGCAAGGGCAGTTTTAAAATTAAATAAGTAATCCCTCCCTGCCTTTTAAAATTTTTTATTTATTTTTTACTTATTTCCATATTGCATCCCAGTCAGAACCAAAAAATGGCTAAATGTTTGAGATGTCTCAAATATGAGCAGCGCTGGGCAGTGAAGAGCAAATCGGGCCACCCATCCCATTTGTGAGGCAAACCCTTCAATAAAACAGCTCCCCTCTCACCGTTTAATCCTGTGTGTCTTTCGTCTAAAGCAGTACCGGGCACGAGGGGAAAAGCAGTTGCTCACAAAGCTGCTGCTGTGCAGACTTTTATATAAACCAAGTTGAGAGGAGAAGCAAGTGCCTTCCTCGCAGTTAAGAGCACTCTGTGCTTCCCTACATTCCCCAACTTAAGAGACGATGCCCAAAATAAGTCAAGGGGGGAATAAAACCTTGGATGCCATGAAGATAGAGGTAGCCGGGAGAGCAGGCAGGACAGGCTGCTGCCTCTGTTCTTGGAAGCCTTTTCCCTCTCCGTTTGGATACTGTCAGTGTCTTTTACACAAACATTACGGCATCCAAGGGGAATTAGAAATCCTCACCCGTGACCACAGCGGCAGCACTTGGTTTTGTCAGGAGAAAGCAATGCAGGAGCAGGCGCTTGCTCCCCGCTGCCTTCCTTTGGGCTTTAGCAAGCCAAGAAACCTCCCCGAAAGCTGGAGGAAAAGGTAAGGCTGGCTGCTGGAACACAGGAAATTTAACAGTCTTACCTCATGGATGTGAAATGTTGTTTCTGTATCTGTAGAAGTGCTGTGTAAGCCCTAGGTAAGAGTTGCTATCTTCAGTGGTGTCTCTGGAGTTAGACTGCGGTTTCCTTTTTTTTTTTTTTTTTTTTACCAGTCCGTTATGAAATGGTAGGGAGCAGTCAGGACAGACAGGCAAAAGTGACATACAACTGGTCAAATGGCTTTTAACTGAGGCAATATTGATCAAATTGAGCCTTTTAACTTCAACAAGAATTGTTATAAATGCCCTGTAGTCCAACAGCAGTAAAGTGGGAAAAGGTGCCACTCATCCCAAGCTTTCCCTGGTTTCCAGCCCTACTTTTTTTCTCACGGATCTACACAGTACTCAGTGTTGTGAACTCAGTATAACCTGGATAAACTACTGCAAACATTTTGCCATGCTCAAGTATCTACTAGTTCTTAACGCTTGCACCGTGGCCTGGTGTAGAAACGAGAAGGACATGGATGGGGCCGGGGCTTTGAAACTGAGCTTGATCGACCAGAAATGAGCTGCCAGTGCTCCATGGTGAAGATCCCTAACCACTGGAATGACTTACCCATGGGATGTGCCTCGTGGCCCATCCTGCGACTAGCTGACCACAAGCGATCCCCTTTCTGACCTTCGGCACCTCGGGAATCCCACATGGAGAGGACAACTGGGAGTCCCCAGGCAGAGAGGGGCTTGTGCAGCAGCATAAACGTCTGAGGAGAAAGAGGCTTTCTCCTCAGAGAAATGTCAGAGGAGAAATGTCTGAGGTGAAAGAGGCTTGTTGTGCCCCTGCTCTGCCCGTTAGGGCTTTCCCGGCTCTCCGGGCCGCTCTCGGCACACGGAGCGCGCGTTGAGGGAGTGCCGGGAATGCAGCGATGGCAGCTCCGCCGGGAGCCAGCAGCTGCTGTAGCCCTGTCCTCCGGAGCTGTGGCTCCTGCAATCCGAGCTGCTCCCTTTTTCCACACACAAGTAATTTCCCCAAATATTTATCATGGTTTTGATCTTTGCCTGAAACTGATTTTTTCTTTTCTATGGCTGGAGCCATTCCTCGAGATTTGGGAAGATTGGAACCTCTCATTTGCTACAGTGAGGGTGGACATGTGTAAAATGGTGATACACTTCTCCCTTTGGTTTGGTTAGAGAAGCAAAGATTGTTAAAACTTTAAAAGCCTTGTTCAAACATTAATATTTTACAACGGAAGCCACATCAATGTAGTTATGAAGCATAAGGGTTATGTGCACTTGAATAGGTTGTAAATTGACAGTGTCTAACAATGTGATAAGACCCAGCATTTGTACCTTAAAATGTCATGAAGCAGCATTAAAGCTGCCTATTTAATCTTTCTTTTCCTACCTTTTTTTGTTGTTGTTGTTTTAATGTGTGTGCTTGCATAGTTTTAACATTGCAGCAGTCATCAGTGGGAGCAGCAGCCCCTGGGAGCTCCTGAGTGGTGCAAAGAAGCCAGAGTTTATCAGTTCTCATCTCACACACACACACATGCATTTCTACACAGAAAACTTTGAAGCTGCTTTTAGTTCCATAGAAATAAGCCCTTCTTTGAGCTGCTTGTCTGGATCTGGGGTAGCACTTCTCAAGGATTCAAGTCTTCAATTTTCTTATCTGCCCGCTGCAACTCTGAACAAAAACATCCACGCTGCTGATTCTGGAGGGCTGTTGGCCCATGCTGCACAAATTTAATTAGCAGCTTCCCATCCAGACTTTTTTTTTTTTTCTTTAGTTAATTCTAACCCACTTCTAGTTCCCACTGGAGGGGGGCAGCTCCTTGCACGAGTGGCCCCGGGGAAGCAGAGCTCCGTAGCCATGGCCGGTGGGAGTCAGGCTTCCACAGAGAAGGAACCATGGAGTTACAGCATGGAGAGCTTCCGACCTCCCCGTGCAGACGAAATGTCTACAAAAACAATACTCGCCCTTTGCAAAGTTCCTGCCTTTTGCAGATGTGGAGCCGGATGGCTTTCGGGGGAAGCCAGGCTGGCTTGGGGAAGATCATAGAGCGCCCTGTGTCTTTTTGCTGCTGCTGCTAATTTTTGTGAGCACCATAGAATACAGTAGAAAATTGAAACTGTGTGAAAGATCAACAAATCAGTGTAGAATGTCACGCAGCAACATCTGTTAACTTTGGCTCTATCTCAGGTCCTCCTGCCCCCTGCTTTGCAGCCCCAAGTCTCCCGTTTTGTGAGAGCTCGGAGCGATAGGGACCTGGGGACGGGGGGTTGGAAAGTCTAGCTGTTTCTCAGTGGTCTGAAGGGCTTGCAAAAGTACCATCTGGAATTAGAATCTGATGTTGGTGCGTTCCTATATTTTTTCATTATGAAACAGATGGGAATTTGCTGAATGAATTAATTGTATTGCACTGTAAAGGTCTATCTTGAGAGCCATTATGTATATGGTAGCTTGCAAAGCCTGCAGAGAGAAATGGAAGCAGCTTCCCTTTCTAATTGGGGCTTTCAGGAAATCATTGATTACAGAACCTAATAGGTTTGCTCAGAGTCATTTGTTTGATATTACTTCTGATAAACAAAACTTTTACCTATTAATAATTTTACTAGTGACACTGGAAGCAGCCTTGCTCTGATGGTAAGCCTTCCTTCAATAAAACTTTCCTTTTCCTTCCTACTCTGTCTGAAGGATTATAGCTAATGAAACATTGCTTCCAAACTGTAAATTCCAGTACAAAAAATAAAATAATGAAGGAACAGTTGATATAGCAGATAATATGTTCTTAATGAGGTCCAGTCAAACTTAATGGTGTAAATCTTTTTCTTGCAACCTGTTTAAAAGAGTCAAAACCTTGACCCAGTGTACAGAAATCTTTTGCTATTCTTTTTAACAGGGTCAGCATATTTCCTTAGCTCCCATTCAGAAATTAGAAGAAGCCTTATACGAGTATCAACCGCTGCAAGTGGAGACATATGGACCACAAGTTCCAGAGCTGGAAATGCTGGGAAGGCTGGGGTAAGTAAGAACAAGTTTTAATTCCCATTTCATGGCATTTTATCTGGGGCCGTTACCATCTTCTCTATGCTAGCACACTTTTTTTTTTTTTTTATTTTAAAGAATCTTAATGAAATGTTAGACTTCCTGCCCAACCAACATTTTGTTTGGGTGGATAAGTGAAATTTTTTGGTCCTCCAGCCTTTATAGATCTATTGAGAGCTGCACTGGATTGTATTAGTGTTTTTTAAGGTTGTCCTTGGCAGTCATCATGAAGTAGCTGTTCATTTTCAGTTGCACGGTATTAGAAAATAAATAAATAAATAAAAATCTGGGGCTTAATTTACCCAGCTGTAAGCCAGTAAAAATATTAAAAGTTGGGCCCTTTGCCATGGAAAAGGGTAGGTTTTACTTGCTGACTGTTGTCTCCAGTCAAACTGCGTTTGTGAGAAACAAAGCCCAGAGCTTAACTTGGTCAATAAGGATAAGGCAGGACTGGGCCGCATCCCGGGGGCAGAATTTGGGAGCCTGCTGTGCTGGGGGACAGAGTTAGGAAGTCCTAAGGGGAAAGGTCTGCTCTCTGGAGCAGGTAGTGGCTGCAACACCATCCAAAAATGGACTTGGGTAGGACGCGTCACTGAGCTGCTCCTGCTTTAGTTCTGAAGGTCGCAAGCGGTGGCTCGAAAGACGTGTTGCAGGATGAATGTTCAGGATGGCAAGGCAAGAATGAGGGTTTTTTTAATAAAGAAATGTATATATATTTTAGAAAGGGTGGTCAATTTTGTACCCACGGTGAAAAATTGAAACTGCGAAGTCCTGGACAAAAGGGAGACATTTTAACGTACGGAGTCAGGAGCTACTGAAATCCAAAGGGGAGTCCCACCTCATGCAGCAGCATGGGAGAAATCACATCTCACGCAGAAAATTAGAGAGGTGAATAAATGCTTCTTTTTCAGCAGATAACGAATACAGTAGTGCTTCAGAAAATTCAAGGCTGTCTAGAGTTATGCTTGTCTCCATTTCTATTGCTTTTATGTCATTCTGATGGCCGTGACTTTTGTTATCTAATAGCAGCTTCCCAGAGACAAATGTGAATTATCCCCTTAAGTCTGGGCAGCACCAGGTTAGGCTTGGCCCCAGGCATGGAGAACAGCATGGACCATCTACCCCTGTCCCTCCCATGTATGAACATGGGACGTGGTGGCACCCAGAGGTGGGTGATGAAGCACTGAGAGCAGTGGGCGATGGTGCAAGGGCTGCACCCTGCCCGCAGAGGACAGCTTGGTGATTCCCAAACAAATCCATCCATGGTGGGGTTCCAGCCAGCCCAGCGCTAACCCTGTTCCTTTGGGCCTCCAAAATGCCTTAAACCATGAAAGACTCTTCGTTTATATATTTTTACTTCTGTATTTATACAAACTCATGCGCGTTTCCTGTTGGTGATGAATGCTTAACTAAAGGCCTTTGGTCCCTGCTTTGGGTTTTTTTCCCTTTTTCAGGCAGCTGCATACAGCTGCTTGAGCGAGGCGGAAGAGCTGGGTGCAATTTCATCCACTCCTGCTAACGGCGTTTAGTGGGATTGGTACAAAGACAGGTTAATTGTGAAATGGCTACATTTTTTGATTTCTTTTCCCCCTCTTTTTTCCCACATTCCTAATTTTTCTATAAGAAAGAAGAGTTTTCCTCAGTCCTTGAAAATTGGTGAGCTTTTGCTCATTTTAATGGTGTAATAGTCACTGGGTATAGCCATATTTCATGTTCTTGTTAATCTTCTGCATTTTGAAGTGGCTCTCTCTGCTAAATTGTTCTCTCATACGTGCAAGCTGTTATCATCCCAGTTTTCGGAGTTAGAATTATTGCAAAGATGCTGCCAACCTCCAAACTTGAAATTTACTTCTGGTAGTATAATTTTTTTTTAAAGATATAATTTATTATCTTCAGAACACACAATAGAATGGGATTTTGGAATATTCAGATCTCAACCTCTTACCTTCTGCAAGACTCACACTAGGTTTTGGCCTGAGTGTGGCAATTTCTCTCTTGGTGACCTGCTGCAATGAATAAGGCACTTGACGAGGAGGCTTCTAGCAGAGAGCAAGAAAAAGGGGGAATCCCTCAGGGATCACTTAGAACATTTGTTAGGAATTTTCTTTAATTAAAAGAAAATTGTTTTTTAAGTTGCCGTGTATTATTTGCTCATTAGGCTTTACAAGAAACATTGTGCACAGCCCAATGGACTCGATTCCTCATCTTCCCACTGCCGTTCTTATGGATTCTGCATGCTTTGCAAAATAGAAAATTATGTTCAAACTGTCTTTAGAAATTTGTTTCAGTTTCTCATGGGGCTGTAGATTTATTTCTTTTTCTTGCTCACTGCAGAAAAGCATTGATGTGCATATGGTGTGTTTTTTGCTATTGTTTTGGAAGGCTGAGATTAATGAAGAAATAGATTTGTCAACACAAACGACTGGTAGGATGTTTAGGGTTTTGTTCTCCCCTCTCCCTCTTTAAATGTCAATTTTCCTGCAGTAAGGCAATATGGGCAATAATCTTGAATTACATGGCTTTCTGGGGACAGTACGTACTGCACTAACAGGTAAAGAATTTAACTTTCTGGCAGGAGAGGGACGTTTTTTCAGTGGTAGCCACCACTGGAGCTTTCCTTGACTGCACGTCTGCTGGGTTACAGCAGGGGGGTCTCTGCTGCTGCTGGTTTCTTGGAGGTGACTGTGCTCCATCCAGGCTGGCGAGGATGGATCTAGGTGGCAAAGGCCACCTGTGCTCTGGTTTTGTGTTTAGTTTTGTGTTTGCTGCACCCATTGCATAACTTGGGATCTACCTTAGCTTTTAAGGAGGTCAAGCGAGAGAAACAGTGAGGCTCAAGCACTGGCTGCTGCTGTTTTAGCTCCGGGCTTTCCATGAGGGGCTTTAAAAGAAGGCATTTTTTTTTCTTTTGTTTTTTTGATAATGTTTTAGTTAAATATGTTAGGTTTGTCTTTGTGGCCAGAGGTCTGGAGTATATAGGATTTTGATACTGCAAGCTATAACAAACTGTCATGCCAAGCAGTGAAAAAACAAAACAGGATGAGGATGGAAATGAGTTCCCTTTATCTTGTGAATAATTCCCTTGATTTAAAAATGTGAGTTTATTATGTAATTTTGATTAAAAGAAGCAAAACAAAACCCCAAGTTTCAAAATGACATTTGTTTGAGGTCCTGAAAAATGTGAAGACATTCTTGGGATTATTTGTGGGAGTGTGTCAGGCTAGCAGGAGCCACTGCATTGCATTCTCACCCCAAGTATTTACAGCTGTGCAGGAGCCATACACAAGCTGCTTCTGTAAGTTGCTATAAATTGAAAACCTGCTTATGTGATTAAGATTTGGGATAAAGAGGTGTGAATGTCATGCCTCAAAGCTTGCTTTAATCCAGAGTGGATCCTGTGCTAATGCAGCACCAGGACCCATTCTCACTGTATACAGGGCCCTTAATTTACAGGTATGCCTTAAAAATATACTTTGCACTCAAATGCTTTGCCTAAACAGAGAAGTACTGTGCAGGCATTGGAAACAAGTCAGACCTGGTATGCTTGAAGCAGAACCGTGTTTGCCTACCTAGCTCTGGAGTGACACATCTTGAGCACATCCATGGGAATATACATATTAAAAAAAAAGAAATTTTACTGTTACTCCAAAAATCTATTATTTTTCTTGAGGAAAGGAATATAGATATTAAAAAAAACCCAGAAATTTTACTGTTACTCCAAAAAATCTATTATTTTTCTTGAGGAAAAATGTGCCTTTGATCCATCAATTTGCTTTCAAGAATAACCACACTGTTAAGAGAAGTACTCGAGTTATTTAGTTTATTTAGGTTTCTTAACGACGGTGCAAAAGTAAAGTTCTGTGGTGAACAATAATGAGGATAGGTAATATATCTTCTCTGTTAATTTAAAAGTTAAGTGAAAGCAAGATGTCACTGGAAGAGCTATGGGTAAATATTGAAGCAAAATCAGAATTCTGTGGGAATTCCATACATGAAATGAGCATGATTTAGCCAGCTATGCTTTGAATAATGAACAACTGAATTGATTCCTTCTTTTTTTATAGTGTAGGACAGCTCAGTCATTTTTAATTTTGAATTAAGATGAGAAGGCTGGATTGCAGATTTGCTACAGCTTTGTTAGCATTTAATTTTTAACCTTCATTTCAAGTGGAAAATTTCTGCATATTTCTTTGTTGTACAGTGTTGTAGTGTAATCTGAAACACATGTCGAGTTCTGGCGCTTAATCTAGAACTGACTAGTGTAACTTCTTTGCTGTCAATCACAGTGATTTTTTTCATATATAATTTTTTAGTAAGACAATAGTAAGGATGCTCTCCAAACTGTTCTTAAACCATAGCTGATCGGGTGTTGGCTGGAATAGTTTTTGATAAAACAGCACGAGTTTCTACGTTTAACTTAAGGCAGTAAAATGACTGCAGGTATTATTATTACTAAGGAGTGACAGGGCTTTAAAAGTCGGAGCAGGTGATTTTTTACATCTGCTTGTCTTTCTGACTGGGCTATTAAGCTATTTCTTGACCACTTGAAAAGGAGAAAAGGACCAGGGTATGAAGGTATTTCTTGAAAAAGGGAAAAGCTGCGACTGAAGGGGATTATTTGATCTGCTTTAGTCCATTGCTTTGCACCCTGAATTCATCCTGCTCCTTTGGAGGGGATTTAGTGTGTCTGTGTGCCCAGTGGTCAGAAGGAAAGGACTGAGTAAGAGCAAGGGAAGCTCCGCTCGGTTTGGGGAGCGTTTCCAGGGCTGCCCTCGTCCTGGCCGGAGCTTCGTGGCTACCAGGGCGTGCGCTCTACGTGTCCCAGCGCGCGCTGCTGCGGGGCCTCGTCCTCACGGCTGGACCTCAGCAGAAAAACCTCAGGTAACTTCAAATCGGGCACCTAATAAAGGACAAGTGTCAGGTAAGAAGTGGTTATTGCTTTAAGGCAAACGTGTGCCATTTTTCTTATTGGATGT